AACCTTCTCCCTTCTGTTCTTCCTCTCAATCACACATATACTCAGAGCATGACAGTAAACATTATAAAATGCATGCTGGTTAACAAGAATAATTTTCTTTGATTTGAATTCAAAACATGCATTATAACTCACCTGGACAGGTTACAGAGGCTGTTGTGAGATAATGTAACTCATTGCACTAGAGCTGCAGTATAGTAAGAGCATCAAAACATTTATACCACATTGTGCTCCATACAGCAGAACTCTGAAGATCTTCACATGTATTAAATAAAAATAGACTCAGTACTTCCATAGATTTCACATAGCCCCAGGTCAGGAAAGGTAGGCGCTCATTTAGCCTTGCCTCCTACGTACTCTTCTAGGTGGCCATTGGATCTATTCCTTATCTCCTTTATCATACCAACTGGATTCAAAGGTGTAGATCCTTTAGGGCTCCCTGAATAGCATCCCTTATTTTAATACTTGTGTGCATCATATCTTATTAACATATATAATACTTATGTGAAGAACTGTGCGAAGCAATGTTCAGTCCTGCATCTGCTGGAAATGTGTAGATATTTATGGTAACAAAAGCTTCCCATGGGCCAAACAAGACTTGGTACTGCTGATTCTTTAAAGACAATTTTGAATTTTGTTTGCAGTCAGTCTAGGAAAATAAAAGCCCAGGGAGCTTCTCAGTAACCTGAGAACATGCAGTAAATACGCCCCCCCTACACACACACAAATACACACTACCCATTAAAATGAACATGGTCTAGTGCACATCTGATCTCTCCACTTCCTTGTGCTAGGCATGTGACAAGAACTTCTACATTGTATTAAGACCATCAGTGGTTTCCACCTGAAGCAAAGCTGCACAACAGCTGAGAATCAAAACCATAGTAGGGCTAAGCCAAGTTTGACAATATCTGCATTGCCTTGTTATATTACCAAAGACAGCAGCGCAAAATCAAGGAAGGTAAGTTTATACGCTAAGAGCATTCTTCATTGAGCATTTACTCAGCTGCAGGACCTGATACCAACAATAAATTGATATAAGCATCAAAACTGGAATGTGTGGTCCTCGAAGGTCATCTGCAAGAAAATGCTTCTGATGGTACATCAGTGCATGGGTCTCATGCGTCCTTTACTGTGCTACCATAGGACAAAGTGCAAAAACTCTTTGTTGCTAACGCACACTCACCTTGTGATACAATTCAGATTCACTAAGTAAAACTTAGTGAAAAAGTCAAAGGCAGAAGAAGGAAAGGAAGACCAAGAGATGGATTGACTTCATAAAGGAAGCCACAGCTTTGCATCTGTAAGAGCTGAGAAGGGCTGCGAAGGACAGGCATTTCGAAGGGCTTTCGTTCACAGGGTTGCCATAAGCCAGAGATGACTTGAAGGCATATAGCAACAACAACTAAAACTAACTCGTCATAACACACATTGCTCAGTCAACAGAGCTGAAATGCTACAATGTGAGCCATTCAAGTTAGTAATCTAATGTAAACAGATTGCTGCAGCTAATATATGTATTAGAGATACATATTTCTAAGTACCTGAAATATTTTCTCTTTGTCTCATATGCTGGCCAGATGGGTAAACTGACACTAGGACAGCAAGGAAAAACTACTTTGGTTCTTACATGGATCAGAACGGCTTTAAGGGAACTGAGGCTTTAAGGGTTTAGTGAGAATAGTTCAGGATTTCAATCCAAGTAAAGAATTATTCAGTGGGCCTGTCTGTGCTACTATATTAATGCCTTCCAGTAAGGAAACATTTAAGGTCTATCTTATGCACCCAAAACAGAGTTTTCTTCAACAAACAAACATTTTCCTATAAGAATATGCTTAAACACATTTCTGTGTTGGGTCTTAAGTTTAATTTCTCCTTCGAACACCTCAAACACTCATAAAAGAGTCACCTACTGGACTACAAAGGACCACATCCTGAGCACTGCTGATATGAAATCCACTCAGTACCTGTACACTTGACTTGTCAAAGAATGCATCTTCCAAGAAAATTCAAGTTCTCCCAATCCAAGTTTTACATTCCATATCTCTTGAAGTGAGCCTTCTAACTCATAAATGGATTGGGAGTTAGAAGAAAGACATCCGTGCACGTGTGAAGCAGGGTAGGGGGAAGAGTGCAATACACTGAAAATGCAGGAAAACCTACATACGTCTTGCAAAGATGCTTAGTCCATATTAAATTTCTATTGAGATTAACATCTTGTTTGAAAAAGTAATACTGTGGTATTTTAAATTTGCATGCAAATCATCTGTGTTGTCCTGTGACACCCAGAAAGTCAGTCATGTGTTTTTCTTTCCTCTGGTAAATAGCTGGTTTGGGGTAGAAGAAAAAAATAAAGAGGGAAAAAACTGCAGTGTAGAAAAACAGCATTTCCAAAAATGAGGGTGAAGGCATGTTAAATACAGCAGTTCTGCATATATTTAATTTAAAGGATTCTTCTTATTCTACTGCATACCTGCCTTGTACCATATGATGGAGATGTGTTAGTTCAACATACAGTTGAAGATTTAGGCCTGGTTCAGACATATGTGAATACTACTTGATTACTCTGCCTCTGGCAGCTGTGTGAACCTGCAGAACTGGGTTTTGCATGATGTGACAGGAGAATTCTATCTGTGGTGATCTACTCACATATAAAAGTCATTGCTTGTTGTTGCAGTGCTAAACATACATGTGCAAGCCAGACTCGAAGTCTTCTGAAAGGTGGGCAACATCACAAGGAATATTTTGCAAGCCAGAAAGAGCCATCATCACAGCCCACACTGACAGTCACTGCTGGTAGCTACTTTTGTCCATAACACTAGGTAATGAGAGTTGTAGCTCCTTGCCATTCATACTCTGATCCTTAATACTTTCAGCAGTTTTTTTTCTCTTCCTGCAAGGTCTATACAAAATGTGCATCCCATTCCAAAAGAGCTGTCTATCTGCTTTTTCCTAAGCTTCCCTTGAAGCACTGGATTTAGGATCAGATTGCCAATATTTTAACAGTATATATGTTGTATCAGAAAGTGGCACATATATTAGCTTTGAAGCATAGATGTTGAGCTGATTCAAAAGAAAAACTTGATAGGATTCAGTGAGGCTTTTTAGTTATTATTTGGGATAAAGGTAGGTTTGTTGTAATATGAAAGCTTGCAGCTCTCTAGCAATACAGATGGCCCAATAAAAAGATAGGAAAATGTTACTTTCTTGTCCATCTGTATTTAAATAATCTAAATTACTTTTCCTAAGTGTACTTTATGGGAGACAAACCCAGAATCCATAAATTTGTCTCTCAACAAGAGGCACTGAGGGAATATAATCAGTTTTAGCACTTCTCTTTAGTAAACTCACCTTTAAACAACAAAGTTTCCCCTTCTTTCCTGTGTTTCTAGTTTTACCTTGTCTTCCATATCATTGTATTTACCATGGAAACACTCCATTGGTGAATGTAAATCCACCAACTGGGAATCACTAGTTTAATATAATAAACCAAGAAAATGAAAACTTCCAGTTAATAAAATAACAATTATGTATATAGAGAGATTTGTTTGAAACAAAAAAGGATTAGGTTCATAGTTTTATCTTTTTCTGTCTATAACAATCTGGTATGTATGGTAAGATTCTTCATGAATACTTCCACTTTCTCTGCCATCACTGACTTCTCTATACTGAATTCAACTTTTCTTAGAACTATGCTAGATCACAACAAACGTCATGCACTTTCTAAGAACTAGTCAAAGAAAACGTATCTGCAGATTTCCTCCATGAGGTTCTTATTTTCCCTTCAAACAACCCTAGTGAGTCTTAAAATTGCACAAATACATTTTAAAATGAAATGAAAAACTGCTATAAAGCATGATACATATATATATTCATGGAGTTTTCCTTGCAAAAACTTTGCAAATCAATATGAACTTCATCTTCTCAACATGTTTATGCTCTGCACAAAGGCACACATGCAGAATTTCAGTTACGAAACACATAAACAAAAGAATTTCAGCAACAATGGAAGTGTTGTGAGGCATACTGCAAGAGTTAAGAAACATGCACACAAAATCATGCGCTGAATCCAGATCAATTGTGCTGGCTAAAACTGATTTCCTTACCTCCTCCTTCCTAGGACAGCCCCTCCTGCCCCTGAAAATGCTACAGGAGACCCTACTGAATGGCACAAACTGGTATGGGGAACAAGGAACTCCCCAAAAAGCAGGTGAGAGGGCCTTCCATGATCAGAGCCCTCTCACAGAAGACAGATTCTGGATCCAGCCCAACATTGGTGCAAGCAGGATTGTGAAATAATTAAGATTCAGCTAATCAGCATTTTATCATGTTACATAATTATACTCTACTTGCAGCATTTCCCCCTTTGCTTCTTCAGACTCCTTCAAGGAATGATGTGAATCAGCTGCCACATCATTAGTTTTCCTCTCCCATGCTTTTAAACTGTGACCTCATTTTTACCAGCTAGCTTCACACAACCTATGAATGACATCAGTGATTAAAGTTCAATTTAAACAAGATGACAAGTTCTCACTATAACCTGAGAGAGATCAACACAGCCATCAGCAGACCAGAAAGACTTAAAGTGACATGGGTGCTGAAACACCTCAGTTTTACGATCCACCTTGAAATGGCATGGCCATGTCCATTCCAAGTCTACTGCCTTGGCAAAAGGGCCATGCAGGATGTGTCCTCACCACAGGTGCGGAATTGCTGCGTCTAGTGTAAGAGGTCAGTGATGTGATGTGGGCAGCACCCATAATAACTATCATCTATGACAACTGGTATCACGTTTTGTCCAGAATAAGTGACACACTTAAAACCAGTATGCACGTAATAACTGGAGGTGCTGCTCTGCACCAGTGGCACTGACAGTGGAAAAAACTAGCCACACAGGTCCTGCTCGGCTCCACTGCCAATTGTCAGAAAGCACTATCTTGGAATAAAGCCACTGCTGGAGCTGAGAAATGAAACACAGGCAGACAATACAACTGGCTACATACCCAGCCTCCATTGTCCTGGATCCAGTTGTGCAGGTGCCTGTTCAGGTACTCAGTCATCCACACAGTGATATTGTCCACAAGGGGTGACATCTCCCGACTGACACTCTCCACGCTCAGCATGCCACCGAATTCAAAGAACGCTACAATCCTGCCCCAATTGATCCCATCACGGAACAGCTCTTCCACCACAGCCACGAAACGGCTTCTGGCAGTGACTGGAGTCAAGTGCAACTGGCCAGACATCTGAGCAAAATCCCTCCGGTAAAGCCGTGAAAACTCATCTCCAGCTTGGCGTAAAGTTGAATGGACAACCTGTGGCGCTGGCACTGGGTGTAGTTCGTCAGCAGGGGCAACATTCCTCACAGCAGCAGAGTCAGGCAGCTCAGAAGGCAGGGATGCCAGCCCAGCAAGGGCAGGGATGCTCCCAGCAGGAGCAGGAGCAGGAGCAGGAGCAGGAAGGTTTTCTGGGTCTCCACCAGCCACCCAGTCATATCCTTTCTGTGAGAGTTTGTAACGGATGTACCTCAGCACAATCTCCCTATTATCATAAGCTCTTATCCCAGGATGAGCCATCATTTGTAAGGAGGAGAAGAGGGAGGGAGAAAAAAGGCAGGCAGCAGTGGATGAGATGTCCCCCACACACCCCAAAAATAAAGCAGCCAGTAATAAGTGCCAATGGTTACAGACGATCCAGCTGCGTTATTCTATGCAGTTTCATTGGTTGAGATGTGGAGTCGTCTTCGGGGTCTCAACAGTATTTCAGTCTTCCCAAGTGTTTCTTCCTTGGTTTGTGATACACGATAGAAACTGGATTTAAAATGCAGCTGATATTGTATTCCAAATGCAATATTGATTATAACATTTATTTTCAGAAACCTTCCTACCTCTGTGCTGAAATGCATCTAAAATAAGAAAATCAGATACTTATTCAAAATCAGGTGCATTCCCCATCCCACACACTGACCTCAGATGCGAATGAAGCCACTGCTATGCACACATTCCAAACCCCCTGACATTCAAAATGATTTACTAAGCAGAGCAGCCTTCAATGCAAATTCATGCAAAGCACGTTCAAACTAAAAACTCTCAGCTGGTTTTCTTTTTTCTTTTGAATAAAGAAAAGTTACGTAAAATAAATTTCCTGTGGAAAAATACTTACTTGAATTTGATATTTGCTTTTCTGTCAAGTTTCCTTAAAGGAAAAAATAAAAATTAAACATTGCAGGTCTTCTAAAAGATTCAATGCACATGTTTGTTCAATGATTCCAAACCAGAAAGGTAGGGAGGGAAAACAGCTTTCAGAGATTGTTGAATTACTGCAATTTCCCAAAATATTTCCTAGGCTTCTGTTTGAATGGCATCTCCAAAAATATGTCAAAACTCAGAAACTGTGCCTCTGAACTTCAGGAAAGAGACCAACCAGAAAAAGAGATGAAGGGGTGGGATGGGGGTCACCTGAAAAGCATCACATAAATGCATATTTAAATCCAAGCTCTTTAATTAGTTCTATGCTCCAGTGCAATAAATTTCAAAATGAATTTAATTTCATTCAGACGCGGATCTTGAGCTCAATATCCACCAATCTATATACCAGGGGAAAAAATCTGGAATAATTCCCAACCAACACCTCTTTTCACCGTTCAACTCAGGGGGGATTAAAAAACAAACAAACAAACCCAGTGCCCCTACACCCTAAAAGCAGCTTTCCCCCCCTTGTCCCTTAAAAAGGTAGATACCCCATGAAGCAAAGGAGGGGGGAATGGGGCGAGTCTAAAGTACTAACTGATCCTGGTCACCCCCTCTCTCCCCCCCTCCTTCCCCAGTGCCCTTGCTACCCCGGGTAGCCGCGCAAAGCTTCCCAGTCACGAGGCACCTCCTCCTCCTCCTCCAGCGAGGACCGCAGATTGGATGCGCCGAGTCCGGCGCAGCGGCGGCTGTTGGGGAGGTCCCGGAGGTTGGCGAAGCATACTCAATGCAGCAGCCTCAAGCACGGCGGCGGCGGCAGCCTCGCAAAGGGGGCGGAGCCGGCGGAGAGGCGCTTCTAAGACTTCACGCACCGCAAATGGGGCAGCGTCTCTTTAGCCCCACGTCATTGTTCATTCAGAAAAGGGGGAAAGAAAGCGGGGAGGGGAAGCCCGGGGAGGAACACCCTCTTCTCCATAGTAGCTGCCGCCTCAGGCGAGGCTTCCCAGCGCTGCTTGGGGCAGCCTCTTCCGAGCTCGCGCCCTGCTTGCATGTAATTGTGCTCCGCGTGAGCCTCGCAGGCTTCGAGGCGAAGGTGGGCGGGTGAGTGGGTGGTCCGCCGTGGGAGGGTTGGGCCGGGAAAGCGGCGGCAAACCGGCTTTTCGTGTGGGTGTGCGCGCGCGTGCGGGGGGGGGGGGTCATTTTCTGACACAGCCCTTTGCTTGTTTTGTTTGGGTGTTTCGACTTTGCAGTTACTATAAATTGTTCCCTGGGGCCGGCCAGGGGTTGGGGTTGCAGGAGAAACGGCTCGAGATGACCTAACGCTAGCCCAGCACAGGCACCGAGATGCAAAAAGGAAACTGAGGCCGAAATAGCGGGAAGATGGGGGGGCATCCTTGCCTAAGACCACCCAGGCAGGCTATGCGGAAGGGAGAATTCAAACAAAAAAGCAAATTCCAAGTACTGCTGGACCTCCCCTTTCCCCACGGCTAAACGTACATTTTTTGGTGAAAAACAAATGGTTTTCCCCTCTAGAGTTTCCTTACCAGGGCGAGGGCTACGGGGAGAACAGCTATAACTTGATTTAGGAAACGTGCTGTGCGCGGCTCCAATTCCCCAAAGAAAAGAGACGCTCACGTATCTGTTTGTTTACAAGTCTGCAAGCGACTCTGCTGCCCGGCCACGCCTTTCTTGCGAGTTTGAAGCTTGCAGGCGTTTGTTCGACCACCGGCAGACCCGGGTTTGAAGCCAGCCCCATCACCCGCGGGTACCGCGACTGTCTGGCACGATGAAGGACCGCTTCTGAAAAGCGAGGCGAGGGCTCGTTGCTCATCGATTGGGAAACAAGCCTCTTTGCCCGCACATGCAGCCGCGTTGGGGGTTTCCCCTCCCACTCATCCATGCTGGTGCAAGAATTGCCCGGAGAAAATGTCAATACAGAAATACATAATCGAAAGTAAAGCGCGCTTTCCCGGAGAGTAGACGGGGACTTCGCGGTTCTCGGGCGTCGCACGCCTGAAAACACGCAGAATTTCAGGTTGTGGGGGCCGCCTCGTTCTGGCGGCTATCCCCGTCGACATCTGCAGGGTGCCCCCTGGCTTCCAGTTTGCGTCATTCCGCCAGGCCTGTGGATAAAGTTTTCCCGCCCTCCGTCCTGAGAATTTATTCCCGCCTTCTCTGGGAAGCGGCGCTCGTGGGCTCCGGAGAGGAGGCTGCCCCGTCTTGTTCAGCCCGCGGGCGCAGCTACCACTGGTTTAGGGGGCGGTGTCTTCAGTCCCACAGCCCAGCCTGCAGAGGACCACCTGGACAGGCATTTTATTCCTGTGGCCGTGAGAGTGCTAATTTGAGCCCAAAATGCAAAAGTAAACATCGTCAGATATTACTATCCCGGTTGGCAAAAGGCAGCCTCCTCCATATCAAAGAATGCGAATGGAGTTGCATGGAATGAAAATGAGTCCGTGTGTCCGAGTGAAATGCTACCCGCATGTTTTACAATTGAAGTAATGAACAACCTTCAAGGGGGCTCCATAGAAAACTATTCAGGGCACCAGCTTGTATATATGCATAGAGAGAAAAAAGTCCTGGCGGGGGCATGCTGGGATTTGTAGGACTTACTCTGTATGAACGTGCTCTGGTGACCTGCAGCACCACTGGCGTCCAGACCTTGCCCTTTTAAACATTTTGCATGCTCAGAAATGGATACAGTGGGCTTTATACATCTCAACACAATGCTTATAACATTCCTTCCAACTTATCCATAAAGCAGATTTGGTTACATTGCACAGTAAGTTCTAAAGATGCATGCATTTTGCAGCAGCAAGTTTATTTTTACATTACTTAAACCTTACTGTCCCATGAGCTGACCAGGTTTTCCCCACCTGAATGTTATTAGTTTTCTCCCCCAGGGGCTCATAATCTAATAAGGTGTCCATGTTGAATGTGCTGAAGAGAACATTATAATTGATTACCTGTAATAGCATGTGAATTGGCGGGCCACAGAGCAAAAAAATCAGACATTTGTTTTACATTTTGTGCATTAGGAACAAAATGCAGCCCAGCACCACAAAAATCATGCAGTTCAATCATATGAGGTCACACTTTGAATTGGAAAAGGGTCATAACTCTAATATGATGCTTGATTTTCAAGCAGAAGTTCTCGGAATCAGTCCTGAGTCTTTTTCCTAGGACTGGGGAAGACCCTTACTCATGGGTCCTCAAACTATGGCCCGCCATGGGAATTTACCTGCCCGTCTCAGCTTTTGGACTTGTTCGGAGAAAATGATCTCCCAGTGAGTCCAAAAGCTCTGAGCTGGCACATGTGTTCTCTGAAACTTTCTGTTTTGGAGACTAGCAGAGAGCCAGCACACACGCCAAATTGTAACAGTTCCCTTCAACTGCGCGTGTGCCGGCCCCCCCCCCCCCCCATTGCACGGATGCATTGGCTCTGAATACAGAGTGGGAATATGGAGCAGGAATACAGAAGAGAGGAGGGCAGAAGAGAGAGAGAGAGAGAGAGAGAGACAAAGACACTAAAGAAGGATAGAAAGGAAGAAAAATATAGCTTTTAAAATCTATTTTTAATTATGTGAGCCGTGTCCCCAGGCTGCCTTTGCGGCCAACTTGCCGAGCCCAGGGGTGGACAGGCTGAGGCAGAGCGGGGCTGCGGCTCCCGTGCGTCTGCCATGGCCTTCTCTGGGCAAGCCACCGCCGCCACCATCAAGCAGCTGCCATGCTCCCCCCCCCCCCCGGAGGCGGGGAAAGGTGGGAGGTGCCCTGCTCAGCCAGCTGTGGCCCCGTTCCTCCCCTCGCCTCGGCCCACAGAAAGCAGCCATTACCTCCCTCCTCGCAGCCATCTCCCGGCTGGGGGGGCCGCCCCACGCTCGCCTCTCCGGCCTCCCACTCCCCCTCCCGGAGCTGGGCGAGCGCCTTTGAGGGGACCTTCCACGGCTCAGAAGCAAGGCGGCAGCGAGGCCTCGACTGAGTTGAGCGCGCCCTCATGGCTTCCCCTCATGTCGTGCTCTCCCTTTTGGTGGGTGGTGCGGGGTCATCTTGGGCTTCTGCTGCAGCCCGAGTGAACGGAGCAAACATTTTTAATTAATTTTTAAAATTTTAATTAATTTTTAATATGCAGTATGCATAGGAAGTCATTCATATTTTTTTCAAAGTATAGTCTGCCGCCCCCCAACAGTCTGAGGGGCAGTGAAGTGGCTCCCTGTTTTAAAAGTTTGAGGACCCCTGCCCTTACTGTATGTCTGAGCTAAATGGTGCTTTCTCCCAGGGAGGTGCATAGAGGATGACAGCTCTTATAAATGGCGGGATAATAGCAGAGGCTTGTCTACTTTCAAATTATATCTTCATTGTGCAGGGATTAACAGGTGGACACATACTACAGGTTTGGAAAAATAATCACCTACCACCCATCATTCAATGCATGATCTTTTTGTTCTTGCTATATTTGAATATATCTCTGATATCTACTCTCATATGGGCACCTGTTTAGATATATGGACCACAGACATTTATTTATTTATTTATTTATTTATTTATTTATTTATTTATTTATTTATTTGAAATGCAAATATTAAATCCTTTTCTTCCTTTTCACTCCTTTTTGTATTAAGGGTGATGTGAGTTATTATTGTGCCATATGATTTTTTTGCTTTGTTTCTGCTTCTTTCTTTTATGTTTCCCCCATTTTTAAAGCTTGGATTATACAGTTGTCTAAGCAGACAAAAACACAGCTTTTGGATGTTCTGCAGACCTGAAGTGTGGAACAGTCTTGAAGAATGCCAAGCTAGCAACTCACACTAACAAACTTCTTTAAAAGCATCATCATCAAAAGCTTGAAACAGCAGCTATAATCTAGCAAGGCCAAGGTTCCCAGACTAGGCGAATGCCATCATACACAGATTCATTTTAAGAATAACAATGAAACACTAAAATCGAGAAGGGATGTGAAATGCTCTGTGTTTAAAACATTTTATAATAATTTCGAGTTGCCTCAATTCTATGGCATATTAAAAAGAGACAATTCAAATTTCAGAAACAGTTCTTTAAAATATAGTTCGGCCAGCACAAAACAATTTTCACAAAGCACAGCAATGAATCAGTAGCATATCCAGTAAATCATATCAATTAAACACTTATGGCAATAGATTTACAAAGCCCTTTTGAATGCCAGGACAGAAGGAGCCAACCATACATCATTTGAGAGGGATTTCCACAGACCAGGCGCCATTAATGAAAACATCTTGCCCTAGTTCCCACCAGTCTAACCAATTTTAAAGGCCGGTCATCAAACAGGTCCTCCAACAATGATTTCAAGGCAGACACAAATGGGCATTCTAATAAATCTGACCCAAGCCATTTTCTAAGCACTGGCATTCACCTTTAAAGACCTAAATTACGGGTAGGCAACTTGTGGTCTGCTGGGTGATTTGGACTCTTACCATCCCTCACCCCTGACTACCTTGGCTAGGAGCGA